CAAAAAGGTTAACAATGCATACACAAAATGGTGCAATAAAAAATCATCTAATGGATTCACAACGAAAAAAATTAAATATTAAACTCAGATACCAAAGTGTTATATTACAACCATAATATAAGCAATTTGAGAATGACAGAGGCTTTATTAATAGAAAACAGAAACCCTGTAATAAACATCCAACAGGCTGTAACGATCTTACCAACAAAGAAATTACTCACACAAAGAAACAATGCAACTTTCGCTAAAAATACGATGAATTCCTGAAAAACTACATAAAACAATATCACAAACTCTATTACACCGATAATGGTAAAGGTTACCAAAAAAAGCTTTTATGTAAATGTATATATAAAAAAGGCAGTCTAAATTAATTAAAAATTTTATTATTCATTTGAATAAATTGAATAATATCGATAAAATAATTGTTCGAAAAATTGAAAAACTTAGTTAAAAACTCAATAATGCGGAAAATGTGGTGATATTTCTTAATAACTGCGTGAATGGGAGTTTTCATTGGCAAAATACAGAAAACAAGTTGAAGAAAAACAATTGCGGACTATTGCCACGAAACATGGCAATGCTAGATGAATTCGTAAACAATTTAGCGTACAGCCAAACGCCATATTATACTGAAAATAGTTTAATAGATTTTATAGCTAGTTCTGGAGTTAATTTGTTTACATCATGTTTGTCCATTTTGCACATAAACGTTTGAAGCCTATACAACAAGTGTTAATTAATCAATTTTATAAAATATTTAATCTGATAGTCATTAGTGAAACTTAGTGGAATGAATTGTTGTCTCCATTGATTGAATTAGAAAATAATGTTTATATTCAAAAATAGAAACTTTGATATAGGAGGTGGCGTTGGCATGTTTGTAAGAAATTATTTGGATTTTTGTGTGTGTGAGGATAAAGGGTTTAATGATGATTTTATAGACATGTTGTATTAATGTACGATCAAAGAAATGTTACAATTATAAATATTCAAAAGTAATTTCTTTATATTGATCTCCTAATACAAATTTTGATGTTTTCTTGAATAAATTAGAAATTGCCCTCAACGCATGTAAGCAGAATCATCAAACATTTCTTTTTCGGGACTTCAATGTAAATCTTTTAAATTAAATTTGTCAAACACTACATCATTTCAAAATTTACTATTGTCATATGGCTTTGTTCCATTAATTGTTGTTCCAACTAGAGTCACTCTCACTTCTAATTCATTGATCGATAACTATTTTACGAATTCTTCTGATGCCTTCAATAGTGGCGTAATTATATCTGATCTCTCCGACCATTTTCCAATTTTTACGACTTCATATTGTTCTAACTTGTCTATAGTCAACCGAACCCCTTCCATTCAACGTAATTTATTAATTAGTAATATTAATAAAATTATACTTTATCTTTCTTCCATCAATTGGACTCATGTTACAAATGAAAATGATATAGAAACTGTCTGTTCACTTCTATAAAATATAATCAATAAGGCCTTAGATGCATTTGCTCCTTTGCGATCCTGCAAGCACAAAAACAAAAAATTATATGTTACTAAAGAAATTATAAGCATGTCACGGCAACAGAATAAATTGTTTAAAAAATACATCGTCAAGCCCACCTTAATTAACTTTAATACATACAAAAAATTTAGAAATAGCCTCAAAAACTACAAAAGGTATGTTTCAAAAATAAATTTCTAGATTCTAAAATTGACGCTAAAAGTAAATGGTATAATAATAAATAGTATATTTAATAAAAACCTAAATCAAATAAACATCAACAAAATCTTAATTAATAATTTAATAGTTGAAGATAAAACGGAAATAAGTAGCGCTTTCAACAGCTATTTCATCAATGTTACTAAATCATTAACAGAAACTTGTAAGAATTTACCACAAAATCAGGAAAACTCAAATCTAATCAATCTAGCAAGCAAATCTATTTATCTCAATTTGGTTAATGAATCGGAAACAATGAATTTAGTTAAGAATATGATGAATAAAAAAAGTACATCCTATGACGATTTAAGTAACTTTTTAATAAAACATTAATTAATGAGCTAATTGTTCCCGTTACACACATATGCAACCATTCGCTATCGCAAAGAGTTTTTCCCTCAATGTTACAAAACAGCGAAAGTTATCCCAATATTTAAAAAAGGTGATAGACTGGACATGCCAAATTAAAGACCCATTTCTCTTCTTTCACCAATTTCAAAAATTTTAGAAAAGTTGATGCACTCAAGATCTTTTCTCAATTCAAATAGCATCATCACGGACAGACAATACGTCTTTCGAGCCAATCATTCAACAGAACTTGCTGTATTGGAGTTCATGCAACAAGTGATGTACAACTTGAACGAGAAAATCTTAACTGTCGGGATCTTTATTGATAGATCAAAGTCTTAGACCTTATTAATCATGATATACTTTTGCAAACACTGCAATTATATGGCATTAGAGGAAAGGCTCTCCATTAGTTTTATACTTACCTCAAAAACAGAAATCAATATGTATCAATAAATGGGAGCAAATCAGGTAAACTTATCATTACCTCTGGTGTTCCGCAAGGACCCATACTTTGACCTCTACATTTTGTAATATTTATTAACGATCTTGCTCTAATACCTTCTAAAGCTAAATTTTTACTTTTTGCCGACTACACGACTATTTTCTTCCACACAAAAAATCCACATGAATATCAAATATTAATTAATAATAGTTTAAAATGTATCGCCAACTGGTTTTCAATAAATAAGTTAGTAATAAACTACTCAAAATGTACAAATATTTGGCCCTAAAATAATGACAAACTGCATAACTATTAATGGAAAAATAATACCTCGTCTCATTGAAACCAAATTTTTAGGCGTATGTCATGGAATTTGCATATTAATTCAATATCACAAAAATCAAATAGATTCATTGGTATGTTATATAAAATTAAACAAAAAATTGATAATAAAATATTAAATCTTTACCTTGCGTTAATCCAATTCTTTGGGGTAATAGTCCAAATTCACATCTCGCTCCAATTATAGTAACTCAAAATCGCTTTGTTTGATTGTTGCTTAGCCTTCATCCACATTGCCAGATAACCGACCTTTATAAGGAAACAAACTTTCTCAGTATAAAAAATATGCATCTCTTTTTTATAGAGATCTTTATGTGTAAATATTTACAGCAGAAATTACCTAACTTTTTGCCAATTTTTTTGCTCAAGCATCAGCTGTCCGAACAAAAGTCTTAAGAAACACGCCCACTTTTTATTTTGTGCCATATAGAATTAAATTAATAAACTCAAGCTTGAAAATAACAGGACCTCGAGTCTGTGATAAATTAATTCCGTCGGAAATCAAAATAATTATTTTGATAAATTTATTTAAGAATAAACTCAAAAAATATTTAATTTTGAAAAATACCTATTTTTTATAATTTCTTATTCAATTTTCAAATTCGCTGGAAACTTCAATGATGCTAGGTAAAGTGAGTGGGACAAGAAGAAAAGGACGGCAAAGAATACGTTGGCTTGATACAATCACATCGGCCACCAAAATGACGATCTCAGAACTTAAAATAATCGTCGAGGAGAAGACAGATCCATAAAGTGGCCGAAAGTCGACTTTGACTAAATGGCTAATCATCATCATCATTCAACTTTCGGGCAATTACTTTGATGCCGTAGTATTTTAAATTTGTCTATATGTATGAGTGATTATGAGTGTCTATGATGTAAGAGTGTGCGCGTATGTGTGTGGTCGTCTTGTGTGAGTGTGTAAATGTGCATGACGAAGTATGCATGTGTGAGTGAGCATAAATGTGTGTGTTTGTGCATGATTAGATATGAATCTGTTGGTTTGAATGTGTGTGAGTGGGTTTGATTAATTAAATATATTTAATTATTCTTATTGCACTTCTTCTTCTAGTTAGCGTTTTGTTAGGTAAGGTAATGAAATTTATATTTACCTACAGATGAGTTTATTAGTGGATGGATATCTGTTTGTTTATATTGAATTATTTAGGGCGCTATTTAATCTGCGTGATTCATAAATAATTGTATGAGTACGTTTAATTTTGAAATTTTGAAAGTGTAGTAGATCCGTATATATCTGTGTGCTTGAGTGTTTTCCTAAGTGTGTGTGTGTATGTAAAAAGCTTAAATTTCTATAAATAAATATGTATCTATGTGTGAATATATATGTGCGAAAATATGCTAACATGTAATTTTTTTTATTGCTCAACAAAAACAAATGGTAAACTTTGATAGATGCTGATATTTTTTAGTTTTTCTTTCTTTTCCTTTCTGTTTATATTGTCAGTATATGAGTTTTACAGTTATGTATTCTATTTTAGTTAAGGCACTGATACAAGTATATGTTTATTTTTTTATACTTGTGAATAATAAAATAAAAAAAATAAAATAACTATATATATATATATATATATATATATATATATATATATATATATATATATATATATATATATATATATTCAAAAATTCAACACTACTTTCAACATTGTTCAACTTTTTTATATTTCTTTTTAATTTATTAATTTCATAGAAATAAGACATTTTATTGTTTTTTTTTAAATTTTTATTAAATAAATTTGCAAATAGCTATTTCGAGTTATAAATAACTCATCTTCAGTGCATTATATATATAAGGTATGTAAGATATTTGATATAAAGGAACAAGTATTTAATTAACTACATATTATTAATATTTTTTTTACAATATTTAAAAACGTTATTATTATTATTATTATTGTAAACGTTATTATATACAACTTGAACAAGAGAGTCGTGTTTACATGGCTCACTGTTTATTTGTAATAATATGGTTTTATTTTTTTTTTAATATAATTAAAATTGGCATGTAATAGTAGGAAAAATTACGAGCATTCTGGCAGTATATTTTATTCATTATTTCATTTAACATTTTAATTTTAAAGTATATTTTTATATTTTCTACAAATATTTATTTTAAATATGGCGAAATGCCCATATTGCTGTAAAGAATTTCGTTATGTAAATAAACACTCCTGGCGCTGTGCACATAGAACGATACCTGCAACTAGTGAATTAAACAACAACAATTCTAATACAAGTTCGGTTAACAATATCTCAACAAAAAATAACTCTGATTCTGGCTCAATTAATCTTTTAATTCAAAATAATGATAATTCTAATATAAGTTCGAATAATACCTCAATTAAAAATAAATTGGTTACTAGCTCAAATAATGTTTCAATTTTAAATAATGATAATTATAACAATAATTTGTTTAATAAGTTTGAAAGTATGTTGTCTTGCTGTTGCGGTAGATATTTTCGAGGCAGAAAGGGTCTTATAATGCATCACAGATCCTGTAAAATGTTCAATTCTCGACAAGCTATTAGCTCGGTTGAAAATGCCAACAAGACTATCAACCAACCACGATCATTTCAACACAAATCTGCCCCAGCGACAACACCACATCCTCTCCCAGGCGTTAAGTTACCTAAAACTCAACAGCAGTGGACGGAAGCCAACGCCTATTTTCACCATAAACTAAATTTCCTCAACAATATTGACGACATCGACAGCTACACCCAGCATCTACAACAAACAGTCTATCAATACTTCGCCGACTCACACGGTACACAAAAACCTATCGTCTCAACATCAGTCAACGCCAAAATCAAACAACTAAAGAAAAAACTTAAAATCTTAAAAACTCTAGGACGCAACAACAACAATTACAACAACGAAATAAAAAATCTGAGCAAACAAATTAGATCAACACTTCGTGGGGCGAAGTTGGCGAAGGGTGACGATCAATTAAATATATCTAGTCAACTGTCAAAAAATTTCTGGAGAACATGCAGAAAAACGTTCTCGCCAACCACATCGCTACCTCCATTATTCGACGTCGAAAAGGGTAGTAGCCACTTTGGCAACGTAATGAAGTCGAAGGATAATGAAGAGTTTAATATTCCTGAGTGGATTCCATCCTTGCCGGCTCCGTCCTTCAGTGGTAATGTTAACCCGCCAACTTATGAGGAAATTTCATCTATCATTCGCAAAATTCGATCCAGGGCCTCTCCATGCCCTCTGGATCAGATATCGATAATAATGTTCAAAAGATGTCCTATCCTCAAAACTTATCTCCATAGACTACTCTCAAAATGTTGGGCCTCATCTACTATTCCAAGTTGCTGGAGAAAGGGCCTAACTATCTTGATTTATAAAAAGGGTGACGCCAGCGACCCGGGAAATTTTAGGCCCGTAACGCTACAACCCGTTCTGGCTTGTAACAAAGTTTTAGCTACATTTATAAAAAATAGATTATACCAATTTCTTCAAAAAAATAAATTTATCAACACAAACATCCAAAAAGGATTTTATCCTGAAGTCGATGGCTTGACGGAGCATACACAGATGCTAAATCATTTGTTAAAAGATGCCAGAAAAAACCAGCGAACGATTATAGTGGCTTTGCTGGATTTGAAAAATGCTTTCGGTGAAGTCAGCCATTTTCTAATCGACTCGATACTATTATTTCACCATGTACCTCAACAGTTTAAATCAATTATAATGTCGATATATTCAGATTATGCAATAACCATTTCAATTAACAACAAATTAACATCAACACTACCGGTCGAGAAAGGTGTCCTCCAGGGTGATCCGTGCTCTCCGCTACTCTTCAATTTATGTTTCAATCCGCTAATGAAAATCCTTGAAACCAAAGAGTACACTAACTGTGGTTATTTCTGGGGCCCAACTTCAGGACTGAAAGCCAAATCTTGGCTCCAATTTGCTGACGACTCAGCGATTATCGCCCACAGTTCTGAAGGCGCCCAGAAACTAATCGATTTGAATTACGCGTGGTGCAATTGGTCAAAAATGAAAATGAGAATCGACAAATGCAACTCATTTGGCATGAGGAAAAAAGAGGGGACCTACGAACAATTCTCTCCGAGATTGACAATTGATGATGAAGTCATTCCAAACATAGAAATTGGAAGTAGTTTTGTCTACTTAGGTAGATTATATGATTTTGAAGGTAAGGATACAAGAGCCAAAAAGAAAATTAGCGCAAAACTGACCAAACTGCTGGAGACCACCTCTGGCCTTGACATCAAACTGTAACAGAAACTAAAAATACTACGATACTTCATTCCAACACAAATTCAATTTGAACTCCGCAACTATAATTTCTCGCCAACATGGATATCGTCCAACCTAGATAACCTGATCGTAAGTAAAGTCAGGGAGTGGCTCTCGATGCCGATCAGCGGATGTGTAGCGGAGATGCTTTCACTACCAATGAAACTCGGGGGTAATAACATCATGTCACTAAAAGACACTGCAGAAAAAACAAAAATGAAAGTTCGCAGCTATTTAAAGAACAGCGATAATGAAGAAATTAAATGCTGATGGCACGAAACCTCTTCAAACTTTGTCAAACCTGACAGTTTGCTGAAAGTAACAGGCTCATTAAAGCAGTCTCTCAAACTCCTTGATGAATCCCAAGTGAAGTCATGTCTCAACCACATCATCGAACTTCAATCTCAAGGTACAGTGCTCAGGTCAATTGGCGAACTTATTACTCCGGCACGGATAACTTGTTGGTCGAAAATTGTTGACAACATGTCCGGGATACATTACAGATTTGTGAGAAAATACATAATTCAACAATTGCCCACAAATTCAAATCTGGTCAAATGGGACAAAACCACAACTCCCTTGTGCCCACTGTGTAACGTTCGACAAACAAGCATGTAGTGTCTAACTGTGGTTCAACATCGGCTCTGAAGAGATACACAGATAGACATAATAAA